GACGGGAGGAACCAGCCTCAAGCTGAACCAGGGGAGGTTTAGGTTGGACTTGAGGGCAAATGTCTTCTGCAGAATGGTTGCCCAGGGCTGTGCCAGGCTGCCCAGGGCAGTGGTGGAGTCCCCACCCCTGGAGGGGTTTCCAAGCTGTGGAGATGTGGGGTGAGGGACACGGGGCAGTGGGGACCTGGCAGTGCTGGGGAACATCTGGGCTCAATGATCTTAAAGGTCCCTTCCAACCAGAGCAGCCCTATAAATCCCTGTAGAAAAGAACACAAGGCTACAACCAAAGCACTTCCCTGGTGCCCAAGGGCTCTGTGCTCCACCCCCTGCTGCCCAGGCCAGGCTGGGCCCTGGCAGGTGCTGGAGCCTCCAGGGGCACCCGAGGGCTGCAGCTCAGGAATGCACCAAGGCCAGGCCTGAGGGGAAGGACTCATAGTTTGGACAAATAAGGAAAGTAGGTTCAAGCAGAGCCTGGATGTTGTGCATGAATGGAATGACTGGTAAAGTCTGAACATTTGGTTCAATCTGGGAAGTGAACACAGCCCTTTCCTGCTGTTGTGTGGAAAAAAGCTCTCCAGCAGCTCACTACAGGCTTTCCACCTCCCTCCTCACCCTGCTGCCCGTGTAACACACAACCTGTGCCAAGGGGCAGAGCCAAACTCTCCCTCTGGAGCAGAAAAGGGCCCATTTGTCAGTGCAGAGGCCTGTAAACACCTCTCAGGTTAAAGAGGCAACCCAGGCCCTGGCAGAGTTTAGCTGGAGCACACCAGCCTGTGGGGAGGTGAGGGGCCTGCTGAGAGCAGAGCTGTGCTCCCCAAAATTTGTCCTCAGCTCTGCTGCCATTCCCTCTGTAGGCTGTGAAAATGTGCTGCAAGAACCTGCTGCAACCTTCTGTTTATGGGCAGCACAGCCAAAGCAGCATCACCCCCACTCCCGTGGAGGGGGGATGAGGAAATGCCTCCAGCAGTGCTGGGAAACACAAGTGACTGCTACAGGGGCCTTCCAAAAGCCTTCTGCTGTGACCCCAGGGGCAGATGGCTCAGAGGAGAGTGACCCTGCTGCCCCCAGGCACAGCTCTGCCCAGCCCCACAAGGGGTCACAGACTCACTGAGGTTGGAAAAGCCCCCTAAGATCATCGAATAACCATCAACCCAACACTCCCACCACCACTAAACCACGTCCCCAAATGCCAGGTCCACATGTTTTCTGAACCCCTCCAGGGCTGGGGACTCCAGCACCTCCCTGGGCAGCCTGGACCAACACCTCACCACTCTGCCAGGAGAGAAATTCTGCCTCATATCCAACTGAAACCTCCCCTGGAGCAACTTCAGCCCATTGCCTCTCATCCTCTTGCTGGTTACTTGAGAGAAGAGCCCGACCCCCACCTCACTCCAACCTCCTCTCAGGGAGTTGTAGAACCAGAAGTTCTCCCCTCAGCCTCCTCTTCCCCAGTCTAAACACCCCCAGGTCCCTCAGCCACTCCTCATGTTCCCCAGACCCCTCCCCAGCTTCGTTGCCCTTCTCTGGACCCACTCCAGCCCTTCAAGGTCTTTCTCATCCTGTGGTGCCCCAAACTTTTAAAGACTATGATCTTTTAACTCTACTCTTTGGGTGTTACAAACCCATGGTGTGATCCACGTGCTGGAGAGGAACCCACCAGGTATATGTGCACACAGGAGACTTTCAGATTAATCTTTTGTTTCACAAGAAGCCTCAGAGGCAGCACCCAAATGTTCAACCCCACCCACACCCCATCTCTGGGGCACCAGAAGGGCCACTGAAACCTGCCTGGTGCTCAGCAGCCCAGCCAGAAACCAGGCTGCAGAGAGCTCCAGGCAGGTGGAGAACTCACATCCCTCCATCTGCTCCTGGCCACGGGAAGGAAATCTTCCAAACCCACCCCTCTGCTGCAGTTCAGGAACAACTTCCAAGCTGAAAAGAATCATCTGCCACCCCCTGCCAGAGAGCTCGAGTCCTTTCTGCCCAGGCCAAGGAGCAGCAGGCTGGGATTGTCCAGAGCCAGGGAGATGGTGCTGGGCTCCCAAAGAATGCACCCAAACAGAGAGCAGCCAGCCAGACACATTCCTCAGGCTGCTGAAAAACTTGACTCCTTCCAGCTTCTCTGCAAGTCTGGCTCCTTTTCCTAAAACAGGCTCTGTTGTGTGCCAGATTTTGGGTGTGACCAATCAGGAGTCTTTTGGAGGCCTTCAGATAAAAGGAGTTTCCTTTAAGAGCTGTCCCACTATTGTTCCAGTTTCCAGGCAAGGGGAGATAAAGCAACAACCCCTGCAGCAAGGGGAGAGTCTGGGTTACAACCCTCAGGAAGTATCAGATTCCTCCTCAACACAAACTGCCTAAATGGGACCATCCCACGGGGGTCACAGCAGAGCAGACTCACCACCTCATGGCTCCAGCAGGATGGTTTAGCTGCTTAAACTCCAATTCCCCTCACATTCCAGTGAAAACCACCCGCCCTCAGACAGAGCTTCCAAAACCCAGTTGGAATTTCTGACCCATTTCCAAACTGAGGGACTGGAGCAATCCCAAATTGCCCAGTTTTGTGAAACAAGCAAGCAGCTGTAGGGAGAGAGGGGAGGAGGCTTCTGGAGCTGCCTGAAGTTTAGCAGCAAGGGGAGAGCTCTCCAATGAACAGGCTCACAACCCTTCCACCAGAACACCCCTCCAGTCTCCCCAGTAAGGGGCCCATTCCCATCTGACAGGGTTTTTTTCCCCAGTTTGACCCACAGGCTGCCTTTTTTTCCAAGAGCCCCTTTGGCCTGGAGCCCACAAACCACAACACCACCATTCCTGCAGCAGAGCCATGCACAGGGCAGGCTCCAGCCCCCCCAGCACTCAATAGAGGCACTTCTACCTGAAGCAGAAATAATCAGGTAATTAGGTTGCATTTTTAAAGACTTTTTTGCCTCCAAATCCTCTCTGAAGGAAGCTTACCCCAAGAACCCTGCTAAATCCATCACTTGTTCCCATGATCTCCAAGCACAGGCTGTTCTCAAGCACTCAAAACCCAGCCCAGCTCCTCTGACCATTTTCTATGCTTCCAGCACCTTCAAACTAAAATTTCCAGTAGTTAACTAGTCACAGGGGAGGTGTTTTGAACCTGGAGGCTATTTGAAGCTTCAGCTGTTGTTACAGACAAGGTACCCAAGCTCATAAACACAGTTAGGGGCAAAATATCAGTGTGTGAAGAAGTTGGGCTCCCAAACTCTGACACCAAACTACACCACCAGCTGCAGTCACCACAGACACATGTTAGCTGGCTCATTAATTTAAAAATCAATGTTTTCAAGAGTCTCAGGAGAAGGCAGAAACAAGGTATCCCCTCAGGAAGTGAAGGATTTCAGCACTGCTCCCTCACAAGCCTGTAGTTTTCCACACTGCCCATTCCTCCTTTCCAGCTTTAACAGGGAGAGACCCTTTTGCCAGCTCTGTTTATTGTCAGTCACACTCCAAGAAACACCAAGTTTTGCAGCTGGTTCTGTTTTAGTGAAGCCAGCAACCAACACTCTCACAAGAAATCATTTCACTTCCAAAAAAAACCCAGCTTTTGGCTCATGAACACCCTCAGTGTTCAGAGCAAACTTTGTTCTCCCATTTGAGCTGAGGAAATGCCACGAGGGAACAGCCAAAGCTTCAAAGCAAACATTCAAGTCCTGACTCATAGTTTCTTAATCCCTATCCCCACCACTTCCCACGTGCTCAGGAGCTTTGGGGTTGGTATTTCCAAAGACCTGGGCCAGGCCTGAGGGACCTCAGGACTTCTCACAGTCCTTTGACCCAGCACTCCAGTCGCACGTGTCCTTTCACAGACACAGAATCAGTGAGGCTGGAAAAGATCTCCAAGACCAACTATCAACCCAACACTCCCATCACCACTCAACCATGTCCCCAAGTGCCATGTCCGCATGTTTCTTGAGCCCCTCCAGGGCTGGGGACTCCACCACCTCCCTGGGCAGAGGCCTCACCACTCTTGTAAGAAAGAAATTCTTCGTCACACCCAATTGAAACCTTCTCTGGTGCAACTTCAACCCACTGCCTCTCATCCTATTGCTGGGAAAAGAGACCAACCCCCAGCTCACTCCACCCTCCCTTCAGAGAGCAGCTGAGAGCTCTGAGGTCTCCCCTCCTGCTCTACATCTTTCCTCAGTCAAGTTCAACACCAACAAAGCACAGAACTATCTGGGCCCACGATGAGCTGGTTCTGTCTGCTCTCTGACACTCCCTCCAGCCTCTTTCTGCTGTTTTTGGGCAGGAGGGAGGCGGGAGCAGCCCCTTACCTTCGCTGTCTGTCAGGACTTCCATCCTGCCGCTGAACATGGCCTTGAGCATGGTGTCCTGCTTGGTCAGGGTCTGCATGGTGGTGTAGTAGAGGGCACCGCCGATGTTCAGCTTGACATACTTGGAGCTGGGGCTGGTGCCCTTGAAGGAGGTGGTGCGAGTCGCCGCCGCCG